TTTCTCTCTCTCTCTCTCTCTCTCTCTCACACACACACACACACACACACACACACACACACACACACACACATACCTGCTGACACCCTGCCTCCTCTAATATACCATGTTGGATACAGAAGACACTGATCAATTCAATGAAGGGAAAACCAGCCTTGGGAATGGAAGATAAGAAGGTGTTGGAGAGATCACCTACAGACGTAGCCCTGAACTGTGGTCACAGCTATAGCTTGCGTTTGGCCTTAAGTGATGTCATGTGCAGTAGCCAAGCAAATCCTCAAAGGATCTTACATCTCAGCCACACTGATTCTCAAATTGCGGCCCTTAGACCAGCAATACATTTGAACAGTAAAATACTTTGAACAGTAAAAGCCCCTGATGGTCACTTTGGTTTAGAATCAGCTGGAGGCCCCACCCATGCATTTAGCCTAGGCCACTGCTCCAGCATACGTACCAGTCTCTGCACTGGGGGGAGGGGGGAGTGAAGGGGAAGGGCTCTCACTGGTTCTCTCTCTGAGGTATATGATATCCCCTTGGGCAACCTCACCAGAGGAGGGGTATTTGGGTTGGTTCAGCATTCCTGAACACACAACCTTAATAATAATACCACCCCATTGCCACCATTACCCCATTACCCAGCTCAAAGTTCTCGGGAGAACCAGAAGTCAGATGAATAGAACAGAAAATCTCTAGTGGAAAATCCCAAGGGGTCCTCAAGGCTCCCCAAATCCCAAACAACTACCACATATCTACAGGAACATCCCATGGTCAGACTCAACCTTTTTCTTTCTTTCTTTTTTTCCCCTAAAAGCTCATTCTGAAGGTTAGAACATATTTATACACAGAATCGCTGATTCTGGTGACGAAAAATGTTCTGAGAGAGTTAAGGGTATCGGCTGAGGGGCAGTCATATCATCATTCTCACATCCAGGCAAATGATCTGCATACTCAGGCTCAGGGCAGAATTTCAGCTCAGGGGCTCCTGGGAGGGAAAAGCCAAGCGCAGGTGCATGCATTTTGCTCGTGGTAATGTGTATTTAGTTTGGCTGTTGTTGAGTAAAATGCTGGCTTAATACAGGAAAGCTTTTCAATTCCACACTAGGGAGCCAGGCGAAGCACACCCCTCCTCAACATGAGGAGAATCTCTAAAGTGGGGATGATAATGCCTTCTGAATGGGATCGTAAAGACTCATAAAGTGCCGTATGTAAAGCATCTAGTTCAGTTCCCAGGACATTTTAAGTGCTCACCAAATAACAGCTATTACTCTGTTAGTTATGTATTCTATATGATTTTAACTATATGAAAACATAACAAATACTGGAAGAACATATGTCAAAGAATAGGTGTTATCTCTGGGTGATTGGTTACCCTTTGTTTTATACTTTTCCGTATTGCCTCACATCTACATAATTTTTATTCCCACAGTCACAAAACCACAAATAATTTTGAAAATAAAACTGTAACCACATATGCAGCCTTATAAATGTGTAAGGCACTTCTCAAGAATTCCACCCAATCATCCCAACAAGCAACGAGGTGTCTCTTTTCAATCTACATTTTATAGAAGAGAAATTGAGCTCTTGCCAGTGAGTTAGAAAGCCAGGCTCTGAATACAGTGAACCCCAAAGTCACTGTAACCAGGGGTTCTCGACTGGGGTGGGAGATGGGGATGATGGTTAGAAACCCCAGCTCTTCCTTCATATTCTGTCTCTCTCTCTCTCTCTCTCTCTCTCTCTGTCACACACACACACACACACACACACACACACACACACACCTGCTGACACCCTGCCTCCCCTAATATACCATGTTGGATACGGAAAGCACTGATCAATTCAATAGAGGGAAAACCAGCCTTGGGAATGGAAGATAAGAAGGTAGTGGAGAGATCACCTACAGACATAGCCCTGAACTGTGGTCACAGCTGTAGCTTGCGTTTGGCCTTAAGTGATGTCATGTGCAGTAGCCAAGCAAATCCTCAAAGGATCTTACATCTCAGAGAACTCGGTCAGTGACAGGTATGCGAAAGTGCAGCCTAACTAACGGACTGAACTGGATTTCTTTTCGGCAACAGATGGTCCCATGCATCAAGCATATCCATCTCTGATACAGAAAGGCTGGTGAGTGGTTAAAACCAATCACAGGCCTGGAGGAGTTGCACGCGTGATGGGTGTACAGGAAATGTTCACTAGGCTCTCAACCAGCCTGATGGCTCTGAATCTCTGGAGAAAAGCAGATGTCAGTACTTGTCTTTGCCAACTTTCAAATTAATCACCTGCCTGTAATTTGGAGGGGCTGCACAAATGCTGGGTCCCTGCAGGGCACGAATCAATCAATAACAGCTCATCTGACTTTTCAGCATCTTTGTTGTTCTGGTCGTTTAAAGGTTGTATGTGTTCTTTTGCACACAAGCCTGATTGATATTAGAATCTTCTAAATGTACTGTACCCAGGGACAAATTAATATCATGCTGGATCTTTGCAAACTCCTCCCAGCAGAATGTAAAAAACGGTTTGGTAGAAGGTCATGAGTTCAGTAATGAAATGGCACACCTGTCCATGGCATATTTTGAATCTGCCTGTCCATTCCCCTGCCTTCTTCTAAGGGCATTCCTGCTTTTCCTCTGGTAATTTCCCTTCCCTTTCTCAGTATGTGTGGTGGCCATTCTCCCTCCTCCCTTCTAGTTTCCGCCCTGGTCCTCCAGGCCGGATGGGGATATTCTTGGGAATTCCACCAGCAGCCCTCCCATCTCCCCCTTGGCCGCAGCGAGTGGTTCAGTGATGGGCCTGTGACCTAACAACCCAGGATAAGGAAACACAACCCCGGGTGCTTTTGTTGGACCCTTTGGCAGATAGAAACCCTTTTCTGTGAGGTCACTTAGATGGTGGAAGATAAGCCTGGAACAGGAAGAAAATGAGGCCAACGCAAAGGAAGGACAATCCAAGAGCTGGGAGAAGTCAGATGGTGGACAAACTAATTTGGATATGTAGTGAGCCACTCCTGGACCAGTTAGCTACTTGAGCCCATAACTCCATCACTACCATCCCTTCCCTTTCTTCTTCTTTTTTTGCGACTTTGTGTGAGTTTCTGCCATTTGTAACTGAAAGTTTTGATTCATGTCATTGGGAAGGCAAGCGACTTTGAATTTATCTCCCAACCTGATAAGGAAACACAACCCCGGGTGCTTTTGTTAGACCCTTTGGCAGATAGAAACCCTTTTCTGTGAGGTCACTTAGATGGTGGAAGATAAGCCTGGAACAGGAAGAAAATGAGGCCAACGCAAAGGAAGGACAATCCAAGAGCTGGGAGAAGTCAGATGGTGGATAAACTAATTTGGATATGTAGTGAGCCACTCCTGGACCGGTTAGCTACTTGAGCCGATAACTCCATCACTACTATCCCTTCCCTTTCTTCTTCTTTTTTTTGACTTTGTGTGAGTTTCTGCCATTTGTAACGGAAAGTTTTGATTCATGTCATTGGGAAGGCAAGAGACTTTGAATTTATCTCCCAACCGCAGTGACATCCCACACGTCTCTCCTGGGATAATCCCCAAAAGGACACTTACCCTGCGCCCGAACTCTTCGCCTTGCTTCACTTCCCGAGGGTAGCCGTCGATCAGGAAGCCGGTGGTGTGGCCGAGGCTGGCCGCCATGGCCTCCCGCAGCAGCTCCAGAAGGACGCCCTGCAGCGGAGGGACGGGGTCAGGACTTGAGCTCCTCCCAGAGCAATGCCTGCATGGCCTCAGGGCTCCTCGGTCAGCCCAGCCCAGAGGGAGGGCGGGTCAGATAGGATTAACAGCGGACAGAAATATGCTGTTTCTCATCAACTCTAAGCCTCATTCTCTCCCTGACACACATTTTAATGTCTTTGAAATGGGTAGGTATCTTACAATCAGTGCTGGGCATAATTTAATTATTAGTGTTTTTTTCTTACTGGTATATTTTTACTGGTTATATTTTACTGGGGTGTCTTGAAATAATGGCATCTTAGATGAGATAAAATATAGTGGCCGCATTTCACATGGCAGCACCCCATAATTAGGCAGAACGGCAGTTTAAAACTAGGCAAAACATACTGTTGATTTTTACCAGCAAATGTATTAGATTTGACAGCCAGTAACTTGAGAAGATTTTCAGTAGCTATGAAGTAGCATTTTCTAGCAACAGCACTTTCTCTGTTAGAAACATAGATCGGACCTGTGCCTATGGTAAGTAAAGGAGGAGAGATGTACGGAAGCTTGGGAAGGGATGCAGGAGCAATGCCCCCAGCCTGTTCCCTGGCTCCCCAGCTCCCCTGGCTTTGGGCAGGGTCTCAGAGAATGCAGGCACCACAGGGTGGTCAGAAACTATCCCTAGATAATGGGAAATTAACTCCTGGTGAAGTTGACATACTAGTGAGGAAGACAGATAATAGATGAACAAATAAGTAACAGTCAGCTAGAGAGAACCACTGGGGACAAAATTAAAGCAGGGCTAAGAGATACGGGTGGTGAGGGAGGCCTCTTTGATAAATTGCTACATTAAAGTAGGGATCTGGGTGAAGTAAAGGAGCATCTATGTGCATATGTTAAGGAAAAGCACACAGGCTGAGGACACAGCATGTGCAAAGGCCCTGAGGCAGGCACAGCCTGGCCTGTGGGAGGAACGGTGGCTGGTGGGTGTGAGCAAGGCGAGTTGTGGGAACAGAGCCAGGGGAAGGACTCTGGATTTTATTTTAACTGTGGCGGGGAGCCACCGGAAGATGCTGGGAAGGGAATAATACAATTTGATAAACACTTTCAAGAAATCATTCTGTTTGCTGTGAAGAGAGTGAACTGTAGGGAGGAGTGGCCACAAGGAAGCCAGCTAAGAGGCAATTGCAGCGGTTTGTTGTTTTCCACGAGAGCCATTCTGTCTTCCTGGCAATGCAGCCGGCCAAGGAGGAGCATAAAGCTCCGTGAGCTCAAGCCCAGTTACAGACCCTGGGACTTGGCGTGGGAGGAATTAATAGTTTTCGACACCCACGGCATCCAGCTTCTCAGAAATGGATGGCGACTTGAAAAAACACATACAAACAACAATACGTAAGAAAGATACATATTCTTAAACTACACAAGGAAGATACCAAAGTTCAAGACAATGCTATCATACCTCCCACAATAATGGAAACTGTATTTTCTCTTTTACAGAGGGTTGCATTCCTAGGCTTTGCTGTACCACGCTTCATCTCTGCTTTAAATATTTCAGTTCTAAAGTGGGACCAGTTTGGGGGAAAAGGTGAGACAGGCTAATATTCAAGGAGCTGGCAGGGCAACAAGACAGAAGGAACCTGGGCCTGGACAACGTGGATCTCCTGCCTGCCTCTGCCGGCTCCGCAGAGAGAACTCGAATACAGCCCTTGTCCTTTTGGGCTCTTCTGTTCCAGCAGCTTAGACTAAAGGCAACACCCCATAATATCCCCCCAGCCGGGGAGGCAGCTGTTGCTTACGGAGGGCACCAGGTCTCCACGTTCCATGGTGTCTCTGATCAATTTGCTTCTTTCAGAGTCTGATGACAGCTCGTGACGCAGGAGCTCACCAGTCGAGAGGTGTGTGAATCCGTATTTTTCCACCAGCTTTGCACACTGCGTGCCTTTGCCAGAGCCCGGGCCACCTGGAAAGAAGTCACGCATCAGGCATGCATCCCATGTCTGGTGCCTCAGATTTTTTTAAAAAAGATTTTTTAATTGATATTTGAGAGAGAAGAAGGGAAAGGAAGAGGGAGAGGAAGAAGAAGGGAGAGAGAGAAACATGGATGTGAGAGTGAAACATTGACTTGGCTGCCTCCTGCACACCCCTGCCCGGGGATTGAACCTGAAACCCGAATTGAATGGGCAACCTTTCTGTGCACAGGAGGACACCCAACCAACAGAGCCACACCAGCCAGGGCTCATTTTTGACTGTACTCACCATGGTGGACAAGCCTCAGTGCTTCATTCACTGAGCATACACTGAGCACTGTGATTTACCAGGAGCTATGTGGGGCGATGTGGACACATGGAGAATGGGCTATAGTCCTTGCCCTCAAAGAGCTTACTGCCCAAGGAGGGCGCAGGCATCACAGACAAAGCACAAGCAGTGAGTGCAGTGGCCGGTGGTCCGGTGGGAGGAGCTCAGGCCGCGCGTCTCAGGGGAGGGGAGAGGGATGCCCTTTGGGTAGAGACGCAAGTCAGACAAGTTTCCTGGGGAACCGATCTGCTCATGTGAAAGCACCGCCACGGTGTCTAATAAAGAGAGATGCTCAACAAATGCTAGCTCTTCATTTAAAAATAAATTGCTCCCCTTTTCAATTGCCAACTTACAGACAACTTACAAGCAGAGTACAGAAAGCTTTCTGAAACATCTGGGCATAAGTTGCCCACCTGATGCCTCACACTATAGGACACTTCGTGTCATTTCTTTTGAAAAAGGAGCCAAGCACAGGCTTCTACATAGCTGCATCTTCAGACCCCACTCAAATGTCAGTGGAATTATCTCAATTGTCCCAATAGTGTCTTTGGAAGCCAATGGATCAAGTTCTAAGTCTGGTGTTGCCTTTAGTTGTCATGTCTTTCTGGTGTCCTACAGGATAGAACAGTTCCTTTGTGTTTCCTCGACACTTAAAAAAATATTATATTTATTGATTTCAGAGAGGAAAGGAGAGGGAGAGAGAAACATCAATGATGAAAGAGAATCATTGATCGGCTGCCTCCTTCATGACACCCACTGGGGATTGCCCGCATCCTGGGCATGTGCCTGGACTGGGAATTGAACGGTGACCTCCTGGTTCATAGGTTGACACTCAACAATGGAGCCATGCCGGCTGGGCTCCTCGACACTTTTTTAAAAATTAAATTTATTGGGGTGACATTGGTCAACATGAACATATAGGTTTCAGGTGTGGGTTTCTATAAGATCTGTATATCGCACCATGTGCTCTCTACCCAAAGTCAAATCTCCTGTCATTATATAGCCTTGACACTTTGAAGATTATAAAGTTCCTTTGTAATGTCCCTCGATGTGATTTTCTGCTGTTTTCTAGTTATTGTTATTAATTCTGGGTATCTGCCAGGTTCCTTTGATGAGCATTACACCTTCGACTCGTTTCTTTGCCTCCCCAATGGCAACTAGTTGCTAAATTGTAGGATTTTACATCTGAAAGTAATAATAGCTAACCGTGGCCTAGAGCTTACTGTGCCAGTCACTGCTCTAAGCATTCTATGTGCATCGATTTGAAACAGCCTTAAGCATCAGGCGCTGTTCTTATCCCCATTTTACAGATGGGGAAGCAGAGACATAGTGAAGGTAACTCAACTGCCTCAGGCCAGTAAGCAGCAGGTCTAGGATTGAAGCCTGGCTCTGGCTCTCCAGGGCGTTCTTCCTCTCCTCCCCGCTGGAGCTCAGGTGCTCAGCCTCACAGCACACCTGCTAGCAGGATGATTTGCCTAAAAAGCATGTCACTTCCCAGCTCCATAGAATTGAATGGCTTCCCAGTCCCCGCAGCATAGAATCTGAACTCCGTAGAAGGGCATTCAACCAGCCAGACTCTGGTTGCATTAACCTCTCCAACTTTTTTCTCATTTCTTACCCTTGTCCAATGCTGTCATGTCCCACCACCTACTGTCCCTTCAATAAGATGCGCTTTTCCAGGCCACTGTGCTTTTGTGCTTCGAGGTCCTCAGCCTGGAAGGTCATCCCTTCTGCCATAAATCAGCCCTCTGACCCTTGCCACTGGTAAAGTGACTGGTTTACATAGCACTTGGGTGCCCTGGGCCTGGCTTACACTTGGTCTCCAGGTTCCCCACTAGCACAGCACCTTGCACACAGTAGGTGCTCCATTACACCTGAAGAATCCAGGTTTTCTTGGTAAAGAGAATATTGAACATTAACATGCAAAGCATGGTTGATATTTTCATATGGCAGTGAGGATTTATGGCTCATCTCCAGCTTTCCGGGCCCTCTCTTCACATCCAAAGCTCTTGCTTGGGATATTTGGCAACTTCCCTTTTGAGGGACAACATCAGTTATTGTTTCTCCTCAGTAGAAGCGCCTCTCATTCCCTCCCCGTGGCCTTGGTGGAAATAAAGGAAAGGCCACGTTTTCTATCATCTGCTCATCCACACAGCTGCCTAAGCCAGGTGGGGAGGGTTTAGATCCCTCTGTGTGGTCATGGGTGGGCTAGATGTCACGGGGAAACAGCTATGACAGAGGCTGGCCACTTAGGACCAGGTGCTGGCCAGCTAATGCTGTTTGCTCCAAGCACTATGGCTCCCGTCTGCTGAGATAATAGAAACAAGAGAAGGCCACTCAGAGAAGAAGAGCTTCCAGATAAATGAGTAAGGGGAACACGGGGCTGAGCTCCTGACCGATTTACCTAGAAACTCCTTTCCTGGGATGGCTGGAAGCCAGTCATGTGGAAAAGATATTTTTGAACTCGGCTTACCAGGCCAAAATGCCGCGTTCCAGTTATTTTTTCTCTTTTAGCATCCTGCTAATACAGCTATTATAGTTTTGGTCCTCTAAAATGTTATTTAACAAATCTCAACAGAAAAACAATTAAAAATCTTCAGCTCAAATTAACAACAGCTGGGTGTTAAACACCAGTGGGTGCCCTTAGGAACCACTTGTGGGAGCAGCAGCTGCAAATTCTTAGCATTCTTTGGCCAAATGGTGCAGGCACCGTGGAGTTGTAAGTAATCTACACAATGCCGTGATTCTTCCCGTGGCTCCTAACTGGAAAACAAAGTGATTTTCATCACTGCAGTAAGGCCCAACAACTGCTAGTAGGAATATGAGTTTTCATACACTGTCACTTGCATGCCTTCGAGGCTTTAACTTACGATCCTATATAATAAAAGGGTAATATGCAAATCAACTGAATGGTGAAATGACCAGTCGCTATGACACGCACTGACCACCAGAGGGCAGATGCTCAACACAGGAGCTGCCTGCTGGTGGTCAGTGTGCTCCCACAGGGGGAGCACCACTCAACCCGAAGCCGGGCTCACAGCTGGCGAGCACAGCGGTGGTGGTGGGAGCCTTTCCCGCCTCCACGGCAGCACTAAGGATGTCCGACTGATAGCTTAGGCCATCTCCTAAGCTATCAGTTGGACATCCCCTTAGGGCTCCTGGACTGCTAAAGGGTGCAGGCCAGGCTGAGCGCCACCTCATCACGAGTGCACGAATGTTGTGCACTGGGCCTCTATTTTTAAAATAAAAACCAATGGGGCCTTGATATTCTTCCAGGATAATTGGTTGCATGGAAAAAAATGTTTGAGGTGCCACATATCATGATGAGCAGTCTGTGTCTTCTGGTGACAAGATAATCGATAGCAGATGAGGGGCTGTCACACTGATGTCATTTCACTGGTTTTCAGGGTATCATTTCATTGCTCAAGGCTTAACCCCTAAAGCAAACCTATACTCAATACAGCATCCTGTGACCCACAAAGAGAGTGTGGAATATGAGATTCCATTTTAAAGGGGTCTGTCAACACTTCCAAAAAAAAAAAAAAGTGAAAAATCTTTATTGTCAACCTCCAGTGTAATTTAACATTTTTTGTCAGGGGAGACCAAAGGTCCTATATTGTGAGAGTGAAAATACTGTCAACTCCCACTTCACAGCTGAGCGTATTATTTCCCCCTAAGGTTCCCTCAGCACTGCATGCACGAAGGAAAGAAGAAAGGAAGGGAGGAAGGAAGGAAGGAAGGAAGGGAGGGAGGAAGGAAGGAAAAAGGGAAGGGAGGGAGGGAGG